CAGGATAGAAACTTGCTTAACTGTGGTTATTGCATATTTCCCAACTTGGTTTCTCTGCTGATCCCATGGAACCAGAGTTCCTTGGATACAGTTTAGGAAACGCTGGTGTAGGAGGTTTATCTACCGTTGCACAGCCGAGAGGTATGAACATCATGATCCAGCCCCCAGGGGAGGGGCTGTCAAGAGCAGGGTGTTGGGCCCAGCAGATGGACTGGGACTCGGGACAGAACCTTGATTTTAGAGGAAAACTATAGAGTATCACACGGAGAGGCCATGTAGGCTACAGAATGTGTGTGCGTGAGCACACGCACGTGTGTATGTGTTAGCATAGAGTTGTGATCTCCACAGTAGCACCCCCTATGGGCGGGGTGGAAGGGAGAGGGTGAGGCAGGGCATCTCAGAGGCGATCGGCCCCTGGGCTCACCCTGCTGCAGCGGGTACCGGGTTCTGTGGACAGCTGCGTTGTCCGAGGCCATCGCCTGCACTGTCATTATGGCTTAGAACCTAGAGCAGGTTTGATAAGAAAAGGCATCCTCCTCAAACACTAATGTGCAGGCATTATACCAAGTTCTTTAATACAGTATGCCATGAAACACTTACAGAGACCAAAGACAAAGGTGTCACTAATATCCTCTTGTTGCAGTTGGGGAAACCAAGGCTTGGGTAGGGCTGAATAAACTTGCCCGTGTTCACACAGCAAGAGTTGAACCTCAGCGTTACCCCAGAGTCGTTTCCTTCAATGCTACAAACCTATTTACATGACTTTGGCACCATTCAGTCTCCATGGAGGCGGGCCTCAGAAATCCTGTTCTGTACCCACATCTGGGCTAAGACAGAGGCAACGCATAAGACCAAGTTCATTTGCTCCTGAACCATTCATTAAAATAAAAAGCATTTTCTGGATAAACATGGGAATATTCCAAGATACCCTTTTGTCCTAGCATGTTATGAAATCTGTAACAATAATAACGCAAAAAGACATCATCAGTGACTTTCCTGGTGAAAAGTGAAAATTCATTAGCCTCAGAGGTCTTATTTTCTTCCTCTCATCTTTTTCGTGCAAGTCATGATGACTTCATTTTTATATTTTATTTTGCTTGTTCGTCTCTGACTTCAATTAAAAGCAGATGAAGTAGGGCAGAGATTCCATCAGTCACGAATTCATTAGACATTAACAAAGTGCAAGGCACTGGGTCATGCACACCTAACCAGAGACCATTTCTTGTGGAATCGATAGTGTTGAGGCCTCCTGCATGCTTCTGGCCCCAAGGAGCTCACTTAGTATGTCCATGGTGAGTCTGTAGGCCTGAAAGTTGCCTCTGATTTCTGACAGGATCCTCATGAGGGAATCTTGTTCTCCTAGACCAGGGAGGCAATTAAGCGTCACCCCCTCACACTAATGCCCCTAGACCGGGAGAGGCTGCCTAGACCATCAGGTTGAGAAAAGACCCTGATTCCATTGTGAGCCTCAATGGGAAACAAAATGCCATATTGTTTGCTGATATTTTCCAAAGATAAGGGGCAAGACAAGGGGAATGTATAAGCCAAGCAGTATCTCTGCTCGCACTGGACCCCGAGGTTTGCCTTGTGACAATTTCACAAAGAAACAAAGAAGGGCAAAGAAACACGGTAGGATAGAAAATATGCCTGAAGCATCTGGCCTCATGGCAACACTGAGACTGCTTTAGAAATCTATCCAAATTTAGGGTGGTCAGATCCCCTTGTTTGCCTGATCAATCGGACCTAATGGCTGATAATCTGATTCCGATTGTGGGAAAAAATAAAGTGCCTCTGATGGTCTGAGAAGCACTGTTATAGACAGGAAAGGAATACCAGGATGGCACCTGAGCCAGATGAATTTTTTGTTTCGTTAAAGTTCGACATTTCCTGCATGTGAATATTTCTGCTGGGAACTATAGGACTGTACTGCTTTCATCTCTTACCCATGAGTTCACATTTTGTGGGTCCAGAATGGGTCAGAATCCACAGGTGGTCCCTATATTCTTAGAAGAGTAAACTACAGTGAAAAATCATAGTTGGGCAGGTTGCTCTGAGCCAAATACGATAGCTCACAATTGTCAAGACCAGCAGGCAAATGTGCTTGATTCTGCTCTAGCCCATGCTTCTACTGGGTTTGTAAGATCAATACAGGGAAACCTCACTAAAGTGGAGCAGGGAGGCTGGCAAGGGGAAAGTTGGAAAGGGGAGTGCACCACTCCATGCCAATTACAAGGAGAATTGTCAATTACAGACCCAACAGAAGAATCATCAACAAGAAAGAATCATCAATTACCCATCCCAACAGGGAAGGATGTACATTGCTTCTAATACAAGAAATCGACCACCCCCACCTACAACTCAGCCAATGAGAAACTGTCATCACTTTGAACTCTTACTTTCCTCCAGTGGAGTGTCCTTCAAAACAACCCCTCCCAACTTCTTCCTTCATGATAAAATAGCATTACTCTCCTTTGTTTGTTGGACTGCCTATGGCTTTGCAGTAGTTTGCAGGTCCTCAATTGCAGTTCTTTGCTGTTCCTGAATAACCCATTTTGCTGGTAAGATAACTGGCTATTTTTTTTAGATTAACAGCATTTATGATTATGATCCTTTTGTATTAAAATTTAATCAAAAAATAAAATTTAATCACAAAAGCAGTACATTCTCCTTGTAAAAATGATCAGAACAGGGACGCCTGGGTGGCTCAGTCGTTAAGCGTCTGCCTTCGGCTCAGGTCATGATCCCAGGGTCCTGGGATCGAGTCCCGCATCAGGCTCCTTGCTCAGCAGGGAGCCTGCTTCTCCCTCTGCCTGCAGCTCCCCCTGCTTGTACCTTTGCTCACTCTCTCTCACTCACTCTCTCTCGCTCACTCTCTCTAACAAATAAATAAATAAAATCTAAAAAAAAAAAAAACCTTTCTTTAAAAAAAAAATGATCCGAACAGTATTTTTTTTTAAAGATTTTATTTATTTGACAGAGAGAGCACAAGCAGAGGGAGAGAGAGGGAGAAGCAGGCTCCCTGCCGAGCAAGGAGCCCGATGTGGGACTCGATCCCAGGACCCCGGGATCATGACCCGGGCCAAAGGCAGCCGCTTAACCGACTGAGCCACCCAGGTGTCCCCAGAACAGTATTGATTGGGCCAAAGTCTTACCTCCTCCTCACCATCCTTAATCCCAATCCCCTTTGTATTTACCCAGATATAACCGCTATTGGGGAGGAAAAATTTTTCCTCTGCCCTTCAAGATTCTTCTGGCTCATCTGAGAATCAAATTGACATGAGATAGATTAACAGGAGAAAATCAAACAAAAGTTTAACAACCTGTATACCTCCTATATACATGGGAGAGACCCAGGCAAATGGAGTAATTTCCTGAAAGGGCTAAAGCCATCACCTTAAATACCATCTTCAGCTAAAGATGGGGGAGGGGTCAGTTATGGAGGGTGGCTAGGAAAAGTACAGTCAACAGGGTAGGGTTGTTATACAGATTTAAATCCTGCCTTCTCCACTGATAACAGTTTCTAGAGATTTAGATTCAACTTCCTCTTATTGATACAGTGAGGGAGATACCCTCACAAATGGAGATTTCCCTCATAAATGTAAATGTTCCTTACAAAAGGGGTAACTTCCACTTGATTTTCAGACCTTCTCTTTGTGTCTGCAGTTTCTTAAAAATAACCAGCTTAAAATAATCAATATGCCAAAGAGGCATATCTTGGGATGGCAAGATTTGCTCCCCTATACCACCATAACCAATCTGAAATTCACTTTTCTAGACCTGCTTTGTTTTTATGGACATAAACTGTACCTGCAAAATATATGTATAAAGTATTGTGGCATTTTCTGTGTGCAAGCAGGTTCACAAAAATGATGCCATACTACGGATAACATTCTTCAACCTGATAATTTCACATAACACTCTATCTTGGAGAGCCTTCCATACCAGAACACATTAGACCTACAACCTTTTTCAAACTGCTGCAAAATTTTTCGTAGTGTGGGGAATCCCATCATTTTAGCAATTCCTCTGTTGTTTAGACAGTTAGATTGTTTCCAAATCTTTCACCATGATGGATAGTCCTATGGGGAACATCCTTGTGGGAACCCATTATTGACATATGTAAGTGTTTCTTGATGGTAGATGCCAAATGGGTGACTGTATTTTTTTTTTTTACTAGTTGTTGCTCAATTGTCCCCAAAAGTGGCTAACACCGATTCTTCATCACATCAGCTGTGTGTGAGCAAGACCCAGTATCTGACATCCTTATCAACCGTTGACATAACCAAGTAGTCCACATCACCTTCATCTCTACATTGTCTTTGTATCTTAAGTGCCTACAGCAGTGTGGCTGTCACACAGTGGGGGCTCAAAGAATATTTGTTCATGTTCCCATATTTTCCTATGGAGGGCCCTCTCCCTCACCTTGCTTACACCTACTCACCTCTTAGATGTCTACACCAGGGACCTTTCCTGAACCCCAGGTTAGATGAGGTTGTTCACCTGTGTATTCATAATGCTCTTTCAATGCACCTGTTATGGTTTATTATTTTTTATATGCTGTCTCTCTTACTAATCTCTGACCTGCTGAACACCAGAGAATGCCTTTGCTCCCTTCTGTGTCTTCATCAGCATACCCGGGCCCCACATGTAGTAGGCATTCAATAAGAGCTTTTAAGATAAAGGCCATTGTCATGCAGCCACATCCACAATTGAATGAGAGCCCGTGCAAATAAACAGCATATCAGCAGAAGGAAAAATTAAGCTGTCAATCTGCTGAACAGCAAAGATTTCTTTTCTTTATTTCAGGTCTTTTAACGTGACAGAAGGAGGAGGGCGAGCAAAAGAAAAGCAAAAATATAACAGGGCTCTGGAAATGCTTTCTGTTTTAATGTGGAAATCGACTGGCACATCAGTCCATGGCCATTGCCAGGGAGTGGGTATCCTGGCCCATCACTGTCCCCTGAGTGACAATCTCCTGCCCTTCTGTCCTGTCGCCTCAGGGACCACGGTGATGCGGATGACAGCCTTTGATGCGGACGACCCAGCCACAGATAATGCCCTCCTGCGGTACAATATCCGACAGCAGACGCCTGACAAGCCGTCTCCAAACATGTTCTACATCGATCCTGAAAAGGGGGACATCGTCACTGTCGTGTCACCTGCCTTGCTGGACCGGGAGGTGAGCTGAAAGACACACATCTTCTTTTTCATGAGAATCGAGCATGGCTTTCACAGGAGGGAAGATGTGGGGCTTCAGGCAAAGGCACTTTATATGGAGGGGTGGACATGAAATGTTTACCCATGGTTGAGTAGGGAAATCTATAAGGGGAAATGCGAACCCCAAAAACACACACTATAAAAGGCCACATCCTTAGGAATTATTTGTAGCCATTCAACCCAATGCCTCTGTTTCCTCACCAAGCACTTATTCATGAGCTCTTGTGATGGGACTCTAGCTCTCCTTACCCATCAGCCAGAGGGAGGGGATGGGATGAAGGAAGGAAGGGTAAGCAGGGAGGAAGAGGAGGGGCAAAGGGGAGGGAGGTGGCTTTGGGTTTGATCACAGAGACAGGTGGCTTTGACTTCTCTTCTTTCCCAAACCCTCTGCTGCGTGCGCCACTGTTTTCCCCAGAACCTCTCCTGCTTCAACCTTAGGCTGGCACTGGGAACCCTCACCCATTTTGTAGGTCAGGTGACACACAGAGGTGACCCAGGGACCTCAGTCAGTCCACACTCTTGCTCTTTGTTTTTGCCTAGGGTGCTTTCAAGCTTTCCCATTAGTTGCCATGTCAAAATATTTAGATTTCATATTTGTTTTAAAAAAAATTCCAACTTCCAGCCTTCCTGAAAGTCACAAATTTTGGACATTTTAGCCCAGTTTCCACATGTGGACAGTTACATGAGACGTGACAGTCAGATGGAGCTGGTGGTCCCAGTCCCATGTACGTGGGGCATGTGTTCCTGCCCCGCTTATGTCCCCCACTGTGTGCCCCCTGGACCTGGCCCCGGGTCACACTCTGCAACTCCCCACAGGGCTCAATAGGAAAGACTCGTGGCCCTTCAAACACAGTTTATTAAACCAACTTAGGGATTCCCCTCTGTCCCTCACCCCCTCCACCCACCCCAAGTCTGCTCCTTTCCTGGGATTCTTTGTTCCCAACATGACATCATCCCACAGACATGACCCCTGCCGTCACCCTTGACCTGCAAGCACCACCTGCCCCCCAGTAACTGCTCGGTTTCCCTAATGGGCTCCATGCCTTTTCCCCTCATGTCTTTGATTAAACAAATCCTTGGGTCAGAAGTGCCTTCTCCTCTGCTTTCTGACTCTCCACACTGTAGCTTCTCACAAGAATCTGGGTTAGAGCCACTGCCTTTAAGAAGAGGCTTCCTGAGGCACCTGGGTGGCTCAGTCGGTTAAGCGACTGCCTTCGGCTCAGGTCATGATCCTGGAGTCCCGGGATCGAGTCCCACATCGGGCTCCCTGCTGAGCAGGGAGTCTGCTTCTCCCTCTGACCCTCTTCCCTCTCGTGCTCTCTATCTCTCATTCTCTCTCTCAAATAAATAAACAAAATCTTGAAAAAAAAAAAAGAAGAGGCTTCCTGAGGGGCAGCCTGGGTGGCTTAGTCGGTTGAGCATCCAACTCTTGATTTTGGCTCAGGTCATGACCTAAAGGGTCATGAGATCAAGCCCCATGTTGGGCTCCACGCTGGGTGTGGAGTCTGCTTGAAATTCTCTCTTTTCCTCTCCCTTTGCCCCTCCTCACTTGCTCTGTCTCTCTCCCTCTCTCTTAAAAAAAAAAAAAAAAGAAAGAAAGAAAAAGAAGAGTCTTCCTGAGACCTGAGTCTTCCACCGCCTTGGTGTTCCCCCAGCTTCCGACTGCACCTACCTGTGGCCATCGTATGCATATGCTCCTTTAAGCTGTCATGTGTCTCCTTAAAGAATATCCCCTTCCTCTGGGTCTAGATGTATATTGCCCGACACAGTAACCGCTGGTCACATGCAGTTATTTAAATTTTAATTTACATTCATTGAAATGAAAATGTAAACATGTATCAGCCAGGACAGATAACAGAATATTGTCACCATCACAAAAAGTTCTGGTTGCAATGCTGACCTTGACTACACACCTATGGAGAGCAGAGACTGTGATCCTTTGCATGTCTGGAGCCCCACTGCCTGCTACCACACTTAGGGCACTCCTGAAAATCTGCAGTAGACGTTTTTGGGGGTACAGGCAAGAATGAGTTGGAAATGACACTAAGATTCTGCACTCCGGGGGTGGGAATCCATAGCTAGGAATGGGAATTCCTGGAAGGGAGGAAGAAAGTGATGAGATCTGCGTCGAAACCACGGCTGTCACTTGTAAAATGTGATTGTGGCTAGCCAAAAATAGGAAAGCGGGGGGAAAAGGAACATACCGAGCCCGCTTCCTCCATGTTGTGTCCCATTCTCTTTCCAGCCCCCATGTTTATGATGGCTCAATGCTGTATTATCTCCTGCGGAGGCAAGGAATGACTTTCCACCTCTGTTTATTCCCTGCCAGCATGCATGTGCACGCGCGTGGGGACACTCACATGCGCACACATGCACACAGCAGTTTTCCCAATTCTCCCAGAGGTACTTGCAAATTTTTACAAGGCGAAGTCGAAATGCAGTGATTTCTCTGGCTCGGCTTCTCTTCCTACTGACAGAAATGTTTTGTAAGTCTCTATTTATAAACCAAAGTGATAATATAATGGATTATTCCGTTTTTAAGGGTTATTTTGGGGACAGATGTGTTTTAAGCTCCTGATGTCTTCATTTGGGTTTTTGTTAACTCCCAATAAGTATGTAATTATGGGAGTTGAATTAAGCATTTCTGGCCACAGTGCATAAACGGCTCCCTCCAAAAAAGGTAAACACAATTTAACAGAAAATGGAAAATCAATGAAAATGAATAAAGAGTGTCACTCTTCTGTGAGGGTTTCCAGAGTTCACTGCTGACCCAGGCAACATCGGTGTGATCTGAAGGAAAGAAAAGTCCCTGGACGTAGGCAAGCCTTGTCTATTTACTAGTGCTGCTGTAAGCTTCTCCAGCAACTTTGCTGAAAGGCTGAAACGTGCCTCCACGTTCCTCATCTTTAAAGGGACAGATCTTGCACATCAGACTTCTAATCTCACTGCCCCTTTCCTATGATCAAGTGCCCAGGATGGGCTCCCACAGAAGGCTTATGGAATCGTTTGTCATTATTTCTGGAGAACTTCTGAGTAGGCGTCCTGTCCTGGGTGAGGTTTTCAAGTCTACTTCTAGACCATCTGAGCAGCCCATTGAAAACGTGATCGCACTATTTATTTTTAAGACAATATTCCCCTGGGACACCTGCAAACCTTGATAGGATTCAAACCGACTGTTGTTTTGTTACCGTGTCTCCGGACTCAGGATCTCAAACAGCATGTTTATGCATGGAGTACTGTATGTGTGAACAGATGGGTCAGGGAGTCCTTCTAGAGCCGGGGCCCCTGTGATTATATAAATGGTGTGCTCTTGTTTGTGCCCACCTGGTGGGGAGTGGAGGCTCTGGAAGCCTCCTGGTTGACACAGTGAGCTCAGTTGATAGGACATAAATTTTTCACCTTGATTTTCCATTTCGTTCCTTTCCTTTAATGAGTATGTCCCCAGGGAGGACCCCGGAGGTGAGGTAAAACTTCAGGGGAGGCCGAGGGCACTGTTGTCTTTGAACCCACCTTTCCCACATGTACTTCATCACAGAGCATGTCAGGGAGGATAGCCAAGGATGCCGGCAAATGGTCTTTAACGTCACCATCTTGGTCGTTGCCTTTTCTTCCCACCTCGCGTCTCAGGATGTCTCCAGGAGGGCCAACTGAGGCCGGTTGCCTCACTGATCCGCTCCTCCCCACACTCTGAGGAGGAAAGGGATTGTGTCCATCTCGTTCCCTGCCACATTCCCAGTCCCTAGCACATGACAGATGCCCAACAAGTATTTATTGAGCAATAAAGGGCAGGAAGGGTGTGAGGGAGAGAGGCAGGCATGTGTGGCATCTCTCTGTGTGTGCAGGCTGCTGTCTGGCACGGTCATTGTCATTCATTTCCTGCTGCGCTCGGGGTGGTGCAGCCTCTGGACCCACCGCGCATGCCCAGAGCCAGGGGTGAGCCCACCTGTTTGCTCACCTGCTTTGGGTCATGCGAAAATGCTAGAAGGCAGCTCACCCACCGTCTCCATCTTCTGAGGACCCATAACTTAACCCCTCCTTTTCCTCCTAACCCTGAGTGGCAGTTGACTTGGCTTCCCGTTCGACGGGCCACCCTTGCCAAATAGATGCCATTGGATTTGGTGGATCTGTTCTGCCTGGTCTCCACGTGGTGAGAAATGGAGTCAACAAGGACAGAGGTTCTCAAACTTGGCAGAGGAGCTTTAGAAATCACAGTGCTCCAGCAGAAGCCTAGAGCCACAAAATCAGAGTCTCAGGTGGTAGGACACAGTCATCAGTAGTTTTTTAGAAAATCCCAAGTGATTCAAGTGTGCAGCAAGGTGAAGAATCCTTGCCTTTGGAGACCATGCTTCAGTGTACGACTTAGAGGAGGGGCCTGACCCCATCGTTTGTTTTCCCACCTAGCTGAGCATATTCGTTTCCCAGGATGACTGTGACAAAGTACAGTAAACCAGGGGGCTTAAAACAACAGAAACTCATTCTCTCACAGTTCTGGAGGCCAGAAATCTGAAATCAGCGTGTTGGCAGGGCCAGGCTCCCTTTGAAGTCTCTAGGGGAGGATCCTTCCTTGCCTCTTCCAGCTTCTGGTGGTTGCTAGCAATCCTTAGCTTTCCTTGGCTTATGGACTCCAATCTCCACCTTCATCCTCGAACGTCCTTCTCTGACTGTGTGCCTTCCTAGTGTCTTCCCTCCGCTCATGCCTGTGTCTTCTCGTAAGACACCAGTCATCCTGGGTTAGGACCCACCTTAAAGACCCATCTTGACTCGGTTATATTTGAAAAGATGCTATTTTCAAATAAGGCCAAGTGCATGGGTACAAGGGGTCAGGACATAAACATATCTTTTTAGGGAACCCAGTTCAACCCATAATAGTGAGTTATTTGGCCACTCCTTGCCTGAGTTATTCGTCTATGAATTGAGAATAATAGCACCTACCTCAAATGGGTTGGTGAGGATCAGATGTGT